CAGAGAGAGACCAGAGAGAGACCAGAGAGAGACACCAAAGAGAGATCAGAGAGTGACAAGAGAGAGAGACCAGAGTAGAGACCCGAGAGAGAGATCAGAGAGAGGACTGAGAGAGAGACCAGAGAGAGACCAGAGAGAAACCAGAGAGAGACCAGAGAGAGACCAGAGAGCAGATCATAGAGAGACCGAGAGAGAGGACCAGAGAGAGATCAGAGAGAGAGACCCAGAGAGAGACCAGAGCGAGACCAGAGAGAGACCAGAGAGAGCAACCAGAGAGGAGAGCAGAGGAGAGAACCAGAGAGAGAGACCAGAGAGAGACCAGAGAAGAGACCAGAGGGAGAGACCAGAGAGAGACCAGAGAGAGACCAGAGAGAGACCAGAGAGAGACCAGAGAGAGAGTCCAAGAGAGAGACCAGGAGAGAGAGACCAAACCAGAGAGAGACCAGGGAGAGAGACCAGAGAGAGACCAGAGAGAGACCAGAGAGAGACCAGAGAGAGAGAGAGACCAGAGAGAGACCAGAGAGAGACCAGAGAGAGACCAGAGAGAGACCAGAGAGAGACCAGAGAGAGACCAGAGAGAGAGACCAGAGAGAGACCAGAGAGAGAGACCAGAGAGAGACCAGAGAGAGACCTAGAGAGAGAGACCAGAGAGAGACCAGAGAGAGACCAGAGAGAGACCAGAGAGAGACCAGAGAGAGAGAGACCAGAGAGAGACCAGAGAGAGAGACCAGAGAGAGAGAGACCAGAGAGAGACCAGAGAGAGACAGAGCGAGACCAGAGAGACCAGAGAGAGACCAGAGAGAGAGACCAGAGAGAGACCAAAGAGACCAGAGAGAGAGACCAGAGAGAGACCAGGAGAGAGACCAGAGAGAGACCAGAGAGAGACCAGAGAGAGACCAGAGAGAGACCAGAGAGAGGACCAGAGAGAGACCAGAGAGAGACCAGAGAGAGACCAGAGAGAGACCAGAGAGAGACCAGAGAGAGACCAGAGAGAGACCAGAGAGAGACCAGAGAGAGACCAGAGAGAGACCAGAAAGAGATCAGAGAGAGACCAGAGAGAGAGACCAGAGAGAGACCAGAGAGAGACAGAGAGAGACCAGAGAGAGACCAGAAGAGACCAGAGAGAGACCAGAGAGAGACCAGAGAGAGACCAGAGAGAGACCAGAGAGAGACCAGAGAGAGACCAGAGAGAGACCAGAGAGAGACCAGAGAGAGACCAGAGAGAGACCAGAGAGAGACCAGAGAGAGACCAGAGAGAGACCAGAGAGAGACCAGAGAGAGACCAGAGAGAGACCAGAGAGAGACCTAGAGAGAGACCAGAGAGAGACCAGAGAGAGACCAGAGAGAGACCAGAGAGAGACCAGAGAGAGACCAGAGAGAGACCAGAGAGAGACCAGAGAGAGACCAGAGAAGAGACCAGAGAGAGACCAGAGAGAGACCAGAGAGAGACCAGAGAGAGACCAGAGAGAGACCAGAGAGAGACCAGAGAGAGACCAGAGAGAGACCAGAGAGAGACCAGAGAGAGAGACCAGAGAGAGACCAGAGAGAGACCAGAGAGAGACCAGAGAGAGACCAGAGAGAGACCAGAGAGAGACCAGAGAGAGAGACCAGAAAGAGATCAGAGAGAGATCAGAGAGAGACAGAGAGAGACCAGAGAGAGACCAGAGAAGAGACCAGAAAGAGACCAGAGAGAGACCAGAGAGAGACCAGAGAAGAGATCAGAGAGAGATCAGAGAGAGACCAGAGAGAGACCAGAGAGAGACCAGAGAGAGACCAGAGAGAGACCAGAAAGAGATCAGAAAGAGATCAGAGAGAGACCAGAGAGAGACCAGAGAGAGAGAGACCAGAGAGAGACCAGAGAGAGACCAGAGAGAGACCAGAGAGAGACCAGAGAGAGACCAGAGAGACCAGAGAGAGACCAGAGAGAGATCAGAAAGAGATCAGAGAGAGACCAGAGAGACCAGAGAGAGACCAGAGAGAGACCAGAAAGAGACCAGAGAGAGACCAGAGAGAGACCAGAGAGAGACCAGAAAGAGACCAGAAAGAGACCAGAGAGAGACCAGAGAGAGACCAGAGAGAGACCAGAGAGAGACCAGAGAGAGACCAGAAAGAGATCAGAAAGAGACCAGAAAGAGACCAGAGAGAGACTAGAGAGAGACCAGAAAGAGATCAGAGAGAGATCAGAGAGAGACCAGAGAGAGACCAGAGAGAGACCAGAAAGAGATCAGAAAGAGATCAGAGAGAGACCAGAGAGAGACCAGAGAGAGACCAGAGAGAGACCAGAAAGAGACCAGAGAGAGACCAGAGAGAGACCAGAGAGAGACCAGAAAGAGACCAGAAAGAGACCAGAGAGAGACCAGAGAGAGACCAGAGAGAGACCAGAGAGAGACCAGAAAGAGACCAGAGAGAGACTAGAGAGAGACCAGAAAGAGATCAGAGAGAGACCAGACACAAGAGCAGAGAGATCGGAGACAAACCAGAGATAGACCAGAGAGAGACTGTGAGAAACCAGAGAAAGAGACCAGAGAGCGATAGAGAGACCAGAGAGAGACTAGAGAGAGACCAGAGACAAGACCAGAAACAAGATCAGACAGACCAGAGACCAGAGAGAGACCAGAGACTTTAGCACAGTGTCTCCCAAAGTGGGGTCCGCGGCCCCCTGGTGGGCCGCGAGGGTACTGCAGGGGGGCCGCGGGAGGTCATAAAAAAAATAAAATAATTATTTAATGTTAAATTTATAATGTTTTGTTTGTAATATTAAAATATTTGTGTTCATTATTTGACTTGAATAATCCACTGTAATCATTTTTGTATTACAATGTTTGTAGCAGAGGCTATTTCCCCAAAATAAAATAACCAGAAGAGCCTATTCTTAATGTTGTCTTCTTGGTTATTATTTTGGGGGGCCACGCAGACCCGTCAGATTTTTAAGGGGGCCTCGGTGTTACTGAGTTTGGGAATGGCTGCTTTAGCAGATGGAACCTAGAATTTGAATAACGGTTGGTTTTACAGTATGGTGAAACATTACGTCCTCCCACACACTGTACATTACAAGCGTCAAAAGAATAGTGCATAGAATTGAACATGGATCGGCACCGGGCCCCGTGAACATGACCCCGGTGCGTGGGCCCCCAGCCCTGCAGGGGGCGCCACTGTGTGCAGGGTGTAGGAACGGGAGGGAGCAGAGAGAATCCTGAGGTTATCACGCTCGCACGACCAAAATAGACGCAGAACGGGTGAGACAGCGGGCAGAGGGAGAGAGAGAGCGAGAGGGAAAGAGGGATGAGAGAGAGGAAGTGAGAGAGGGAGGGAGGGAGGCAGGGAGAGAGGCAGGGAGAAAGGTAGGGAGAGAGGGAGAGAGAGAGGTAGGGAGAGAGGCAGGGAGAGAGGCAGGGAGAGAGGGAGGGAAAAAGGAATGAGAGAGAGGGAGGGAGAGAGGCAGGGAGAGAGGCAGGGAGAGAGGGAGGGAGAGAGGCAGGGAGAGAGGCAGGGAGAGAGGGAGGGAGAGAGGCAGGGAGAGAGGGAGGGAGAGAGGCAGGGAGAGAGGGAGGGAGAGAGGCAGGGAGAGAGGGAGGGAGAGAGGGAGGGAGAGAGGGAGGGAGAGAGGCAGGGAGAGAGGGAGGGAGAGAGGCAGGGAGAGAGGGAGGGAGAGAGGCAGGGAGAGAGGGAGGGAGAGAGGGAGGGAGAGAGGCAGGGAGAGAGGTAGAGAGGTAGGGAGAGAGGCAGGGAGAGAGGCAGGGAGAGAGGCAGGGAGAGAGGGAGGGAGAGAGGGAGGGAGAGAGGCAGGGAGAGAGGGAGGGAGAGAGGCAGGGAGAGAGGGAGGGAGAGAGGCAGGGAGAGAGGGAGGGAGAGAGGTAGGGAGAGAGGGAGGGAGGGAGGCAGGGAGAGAGGTAGAGAGGTAGGGAGAGAGGCAGGGAGAGAGGCAGGGAGAGAGGGAGGGAGAGAGGGAGGGAGAGAGGGAGGGAGGGAGGCAGGGAGAGAGGTAGAGAGGTAGGGAGAGAGGCAGGGAGAGAGGCAGGGAGAGAGGCAGGGAGAGAGGGAGGGAGAGAGGGAGGGAGAGAGGCAGGGAGAGAGGGAGGGAGAGAGGCAGGGAGAGAGGGAGGGAGAGAGGCAGGGAGAGAGGGAGGGAGAGAGGGAGGGAGAGAGGGAGGGAGAGAGGCAGGGAGAGAGGGAGGGAGAGAGGCAGGGAGAGAGGGAGGGAGAGAGGGAGGGAGAGAGGTAGGGAGAGAGGGAGGGAGAGAGGTAGGGAGAGAGGTAGGGAGAGAGGGAGGGAGAGAGGTAGGGAGAGAGGCAGGGAGAGAGGCAGGGAGAGAGGCAGGGAGAGAGGGAGGGAGAGAGGGAGGGAGAGAGGTAGGGAGAGAGGGAGGGAGAGAGGGAGGGAGACAGGCAGGGAGAGAGGGAGGGAGAGAGGTAGGGAGAGAGGCAGGGAGAGAGGCAGGGAGAGAGGGAGGGAGAGAGGGAGGGAGAGAGGTAGGGAGAGAGGGAGGGAGAGAGGTAGGGAGAGAGGGAGGGAGACAGGTAGGGAGAGAGGGAGGGAGAGAGGCAGGGAGAGAGGGAGGGAGAGAGGCAGGGAGAGAGGCAGGGAGAGAGGTAGGGAGAGAGGGAGGGAAAAAGGAATGAGAGAGAGGGAGGGAGAGAGGCAGGGAGAGAGGGAGGGAGAGAGGCAGGGAGAGAGGCAGGGAGAGAGGGAGGGAAAAAGAAATGAGAGAGAGGCAGGGAGAGAGGCAGGGAGAGAGGGAGGGAAAGAGGGATGAGAGAGAGGAAGTGAGAGAGGGAGGGAGGGAGGCAGGGAGAGAGGCAGGGAGAGAGGCAGGGAGAGAGGCAGGGAGAGAGGTAGGGAGAGAGGGAGGGAGAGAAGTAGGGAGAGAGGGAGGGAGAGAGGCAGGGAGAGAGGGAGGGAGAGAGGGAGGGAGAGAGGCAGGGAGAGAGGGAGGGAAAGAGGCAGGGAG